GCATGGGTGGGCAAGATTCTGCTGACAATCCAGGGGTGAGGCCAGCAGTTGTTTTAACTGGAACTGCAAAGCAAGGTAGCTATGGACCACCCATTTCATCTTCGGAAGATGAGAAGAGCAAATGCTTTAACGAGGGACAAAGGTCCAATGGCAGGTAACCAAGCAACAGCTAACACTAGAAAGCTCAGTTTATCCTACCATTGTTTCATCTTCTTCACTAGTTCACCTTATTTCTGCTTCTCCATCAATATGCAGGGTCGATTTGAAATTCTATCACTGTCTGGTTCATTTATGCTGACAGAAGTTGGTGGTCAGCGGAGCAGAACTGGGGGCTTAAGTGTGTCATTATCTGGCCCAGATGGTCGTGTTTTGGGTGGTGGTGTGGCTGGCCTTCTAACAGCTGCATCCCCTGTTCAGGTTTAAAAATTTCATTCTTGTTCAGTCTGACTATTAGATGATAAACTGTTCATCTTGATATTATTGTCTGAGTTGCCTATTATGGTATCTGCTTCTGTCCAGGTGGTTGTGGGCAGTTTTGTTGCTGATGGTCGCAAGGAATCAAAGACAGTGCCTCAAACAGAAGCCTTACCTGCCCAACCAAAGTTTACTGCTGGTGGGATGCCAACAGGGGCCAGTAGCCCTCCATCTCGTGGTACTCTGAGTGAATCCTCAGGTGGACCCAGCAGCCCTCTTAACCAGAGCACAGGAGCCTGCAATAACCATAACACTCAAGGCATGGCAAGCATGCCATGGAAGTAAACCCCCTCCTAACTTAAACTAGTCCGGCTAATTTGTGTAGCAGGCATGGGAGCTGATGTTTGTGTTACTATCTACTGCAGGCAGATCCGTGTTGTAATTTAAGTCTTGTCGTGTAAGTTTGGTAGAATAAGATTATAGAATGCTCTCTGGTGTGACTCTATTGGTAAGTAGGAAGGTAGTGCCATTTAGGTAGTAAGAGGTGCTTGTTGGAATCTATAAGGCGACCTTGGTTTAGAAGTAGAGCTCCCATGCTTTTAGAGTATATGTTAGAATGAGATGGATTAGTCTGATTTGTATTGGTTTATTGTAGGTGCTTTTTGTTCATCAGCTTCAGTGAAATGTATCCTCGCCTTTTCTATTTGCAAAATTAAATTCATCCCTATTCTATCCGTTCGGAGAATTTGTAGCTATCATCTCCTATTGACTTGAAAACATGAGCAGAATCTGAAAATTGTGTAAACAGTACACTACCGAAACAGCATCCCAATTTCTTGGAATTAATGTAAACGCGGAATTTTATCTGCACCTTACATATTCTTTTCTCTTTGCCGTCAACACTTTAAATTAATTTTTGTTTTGGTTAATACTTTTTATAATTTAAAATTTGTAAAAATCCTCAAATTACCAATAAAGTTATAATACAAATAGAATATTTGATCATAAATTTAAGGGGTAAATAGAAGGTTTGACTATTAATTTCTAAATTTTGACAGATTTTGAGTAATGAAGAGTGTTGATCAAAACAAAAACTAATTGAAGATGTTAACCACATAAAGAAAAAATGTGTAAGGTGCAATGGTGCCCTTGGCCTTCTGTAAATTGCAAACGATTTCTGTTTATTGTTACCCTGGACTGGCTTCTGCAGTCTCATGATATGGGGAAGTTTTTCACTTCCGATGAGTCTTACTAAAAAATTGGTATCATTTGTCTTGCATCACAACGCACTACAACAACACATGAAAGAAGTGCTCACTTCTGCACTTTCGCTCTCTTCAGTAGAAAACGCAATGAAAAGATGCCAAGAGCAAAAGTCTGCCAAAACCAACCTCTTGCATTAGCAGGATCCACCCGTTTTGCCAGGAACCATGCATATATAGCCTCAAAAAGATGCGCTGCTGTAGCAAGAATAGATACTATCCTTAATACTAACATTGATCGGAAGATGAGAAGAGCAAATGCTTTAACGAGGGACAAAGGTCCAATGGCAGGTAACCAAGCAACAGCTAACACTAGAACCATTCCGATCACAGCAAATAACCATGCATATATTGTAGGTCCATCCAAAGTTTTCCTTTTCCTTTCCTGCCAGTATGAGATGGTTGCAGCCATGCCATCATGGGGGCTAACCATAGGAACATAGTGAAGCTCCTGCTGAGCTTTAAGCAATGAGAAGTAGTGTGTAACACCAACCTGTCAATGTGACACTGGTTCAGCAAACATGATATACTGCTTGGCCAACCTAACAGAATTCTGAACATTGTAATGATAACATAATAGAATAAAGAGAAGACTGGATATAGACACAGACCTTATATACTTCAGCAGGAAGGATAAATGGTTGGGGAAGCCACCATCGATCCAACCATGGATACAAGATTGTATATATGGCCCAGAAAATCTTTCCCAGTAAAAGAGCATGGGGGACAGTTAACCATGACTTTGGCAAGTCATAGTCCAGACTTCTAAGCAGTGGTTGGATGAATTCAAATGTGTTGATTGGAGAACCTGTGAAACATAAAGAAATCAAGGTAGCAATTCAGCTCGGGTCTTGGCCTTTTAACTTCATCTACTTGATTATCTAGATCTAACAAAGCAATATCAAAACAAGTTCTAGAAAAATAGTAATTGAAGAATGAATCATTACCATCAGATATAAAGTACGCCTGGCCAGCTGCTACTGGACGTCCCTCTTTCCCAGGAATGTCATCAAGTAGCCCCATGCTTGCCAATATTAGAGCAAGTACCAGGTTATCAACATAAACCCAGTCTGTTTTCACACTAGGTGCTCCAATTTTAAATGGCACCAACCCTAGCTTTGCTAGAGATACTATCCTTGGAAGGTGTCGCTCTTCACCTGGTCCATAGATAGCTGCTGGACGAACTGCACAGGTATAGAGATGTTTCCCATTATTCTCCCTGAACAACAAAGAAACAACCACAAACTCATTCCTCATCTAACAAAGTAAATGGTTATGAAGAAAATCTTGAATGCTGCTAGAATTAGATTATCCAATATCTGGCAGCTGCTCTCATCATTTTTAAATACTAGGACCAATTTACTCAAAAGTCATACCCAACAAAGAAGCATGTAGGGAAAAAAAGGAAAAGATGAAAGCTTTAGGGTTATCATAAGTAAATTTCATACTTGAAGGGGCGGCCATTGTACTTGAGAACCAACTGTTCAGCAATTGATTTACTTCGTCCATAAGGATCATTGTCATCAATAGGGAAGTAGTTCAAGGCTTCGTTGCCATTCACAATTTCCTTTCCCCCAAAAACTACATTATAAGTGCTCACATAAACAAGCCTCCCGATACCCAGTTCAAAGCAAGCTTCCAAGACATGCCAAGTTCCATTGATATTCACACGATCAACCTGACCAAACTGAAGCATTTCTTTCCCTGACATGCCATATGAGGCCAGGTGGAAAACACAATCTGCACCTCGAAGAGCCTTTTCAACATCATTTTTGTTCACAAGATCCCCTGACATCACAAAATACTGAACAGATGAGTGCCTAAAGGCATAAAGGTAGTAGTAACTGTTGTAAGATCCCCGGCAACAAAATCTCACACATGGTTTGCTTTATTCTCAAATTTATTATATATTCTAACTAATATTAGAGAATTGAAAAAGGCACTGCAATTACCTAAAAGCGTATAGATTTTGAAATATATGGTCTTGCACAAGCAAAACAGGTCAAAGCTATCAATCTTCAGCCAAGAAGATAACATAAACTTTCCAGCTTCTAGAGGAATTGTATTGGAAAACTAAATCCTAAGTCAATTTTCAAGGAAATATAAATCTTCTCAGCAGATCCTTGATCGAATATGCCACCAAATTCAACGATTCAGTTTCAAAAATCCCTTCTTTTCTTTTTTGAAAAAAAATGTCAAATTTAGGTGCAGATAGAGATTAGATTTGGAAGAGTGGGAAAAGTGGGTAACCTTGAATGCATTGGACGCCATGGTTCTTGAGATTATCAGACCAGGCAGACGTTGGTTTGTTGTCAAAGGAGCGAACTCGGCGAGCTCCTCTACGCACCAGCTCCAAGCACAAAGCTGAACCCACGAACCCCAACCCACCCGTCACCACAAAGGTATTCCCTTCAATCCCTTCATTCTCGCTCAGATGCATTTTCCCTTTTCCTCTGCTATCAAAAATCAAAGACCTTTAAGAGCGCAGAGTCGCAGACTCAAGTGAAAGCGAAG